CTGAGAATTGAAAAGAAACTATTATTCTTCTCCTCTGTAACAGACTACATAGAACCAGTAATAAGAATCAACAAATTCTTAGATCTAATCAAACCATCTATGAGGACTTCTAAATAGAACATCCATTTATAAAACTCAATTACTTTTATCAGCCCCAAAATATAACATACAAATATATATCTGTACATGTATATATGTGTGCAGATAGCTAGATATGTAGACAGATTCAAGCTACTATTTACAACAGCACAGACATCTATAAAATGCTTAGAGTTAGGAATATATTTCCTAATAAAAAAATCATCACAAGTTTTATGAAGAAAGCTTTAAACTTTACTGGGACCATAAATGATGACCTAAATAAATAAAAAAATAAACTGTGCATAAATGGGAGCATGCAGTGGGACAAAGATCTCTTTTCTCTTCAAATACATCTATAAAGTCAATGAAATTGAAATCATAATCTTAGCAGGTAGTTTAAAAATGAAACTTAAAATTCACATGAAAGAGCAAAGAGGTCTCAGCATAGATCTGTAGCATAAATCAAGATTTCTGTAAAAATATGGAAGTTAAAATAGACTGTGATGGATATGATTTTAAAAAAAAAATAGACCAATGAACCAAGATGAGCCATAAACAAACCTGTCTAAATCCTGAGTGACATTTAGCAAGGGAGGCGTTACAACTCAGTAGTGAAAGAATTAAGTGCTCCAGATATAATGCTGGGCAATGGTTCATCCGTATTTGGAGGGGGCAGGGGGAATAGTCCTCACTCACATCATTTTAAAAACTGCTACACTGCACATGATTGAAGCCATACATGTGAAAATAAAAACTTTAAAACTATTCAAAGGAAATAGAGGAGACTATTTTATGACCTTGAAGTGAAAAAATCATTTATTCAACAAGACATGAAAAGCACAAATCATGAAGGAAATGAGACTTAAAATTCTACTCTATAAAGCGGCATACACAAAACAACAAAAGGCACAACCCAAATGATTAAATGATAATGATAGCAATAATAATAGAAATAACCTAGATATCTATCAAGAGACGAATGGCCAAATAAAGTATGGCATGTTCATGCGGTAAATTTAAAATGGCACTCTGAATCCTATTAAAGAAATCAGAAGTGATGAAAATAATCATGTCTCAGGTGAAGTGGTAAAATTTTAGCTCCAAAAATAGTATAGGCAGGGAGTTTCCGGCTTGCTGATCCCATCACTAATTGAGAAGATTTGGGGTTGGAGGATGGCTTTGAATCTAAGATATTCTCATGGTGTTGGCAAGACCAGAAAAGGGAGCTGTAGAGGCAGGAGGGCAAGCCAGCGGCTGCTACAGCCATCAAAGTTGAGATATTGGAGGTGGCCAGGATACAGAGAAGACATAGAAGCTGTGGGTGGGAAGAATTGACAAGGCCTGGGGTCTGCCTGGGTATGGGAGGCATGGAGGGGAAGGAGTTCGAGTGACAGTGTAAGACTTTCCAGATGGTTTTAGGAACAGCTGAAAGGAACAACTTGAAATAAATGTCCTACTTTTAAACCAACCGTGAAATAGATCCTAACCTCTACCAAAGCCTTCAGAAGTCATGAGCTGGTCCTGAGAGAATTCTGTTCTACCTGGATCCCTGAGAAAAGATACCTTGTCCAGCATTCATTTTGACTTTTTTTTTTCTCATCATTATTGTTGAAAGTATTACATGTCCTCTTTTCCCTCACATTGACTTCTTCTAGCTCTCCCTACCCCTCCACTCCAGACTTTCACCATCCTCTTGTCTGTCTCCATGGGTTGTGTAGGGAAGGGTATGTGGCTGGGAAGAGATCATTTTGACTTTAACTTGGAGAAAATATCATTTTATCATAAGACTTGTTCAGTGGGAGAACATAATCTCTTTAATAAGTTGTATTCTGATACCACTTCCCTACCTGTTTATGAAGGGAGTGGCCTAGGCTTCTATGTTCCTCTCTGTAAATAACCCCAGGCTCCTGTGAGATAGTGAAACTTGAGCCATGCTTGTGCTGTTGAAAGGAGGATTATTCAGGTTTCTCTACCAATTACCTGTGCCATGTGATGCTAGTGGATAAGGAGGAAGACAGTGGATGGAAGTTACTGGGAGACAGATTTTGGTGCAGGGAAAAATTTGATAATCTGGGATCCAGAATTTTTAGATGTTGAAATCACCACCTGAAGAGAAAGCAAGCAGCAGGCAGGCACTGAGGGTGTTGTAGCCAAATGACATGGCAGACTATCCATCAAGCTATGAAACATGTGATAGATGATGGCCCCATCTTCATGGGTTTACCTAATAACCAAGGTTATAGGTAGTTACCTTTTCCTCTATCCTGTCTAGTAAAGAAATTACAGTGAACTCCAGTGACTAAGAATGTGGATAATTAACAGTAATGGGTTAATATGTGTTAACTTTATCATACACTGAATGGCCAGATTATTATGATCTCTGAATGCATAATAATCTGGCTATTCAATGTGTATATATGTATATTAGAGGCCTGGTGCATGAATTCTTGCTGGACAGCCTGGCCAGGAGGAGGGGACATGGGCTGTTGGCCAGCCTTCCTGCTGGTCGAACTGGTGGAGGAGACACTTTGCATATTAGCCTTTTATTATAGAGGATATACACTGAGTGACCAGATAATTATGCATTCAGAGATCGTAATAATCTGGTCACTCAGAGTAGGGCACATGTATGCTTTATATGTGTTCTCATGGTCTGTAGGAAAACACTGTGAGGGAGGGCTGTGACTAATGTGAAGTAGGCTCAAAGCAGTGAAACTCCTGCCTATGACACAGAGTAGATGATGAAGTCAGGATGGACATCCATTTGCTTGCCTGAGAATTGTATTTATTGAGGAGGAGTAAGAGGGGAGGAAGAAGACATTAACAAATATTATTGCAGTGTCTTAAATATTCTCAGCCATAAATCATTTGTGACACCCACCTCCAAATGCAAAACATAGTGTCGAGAAGTTCTTTTCTCACTCATGTGCTCCATTTCACAGAAGTGTCCCATTTGCTTCAGAGAGTGACCATGTGCCCCCAGTGGCCAGAGATATAACGCAAAGTATACCGTAACATGGTTATATTTGCTTAATATAAAATGGGCCTCCATATTTTCGAGCAAAATGAATGAAGGTACTGTAGAATGCATGTCATTTTTATGTTGTGCTTTCATGCCTTCCCTGGGAAAAGCTATCTTTCTCCTACCACACTGTTCCAGTTTTAGAAATAGCATCAGAAGAAGTATACATTCATTAGTGTAGAGGTGGATAAAATATTGAATAAACTAAAAGGAAAACAAAGAAACTATATAATTATATTGACAAATTAGCATGCCAGAGGTTTACAAGGCAACGGTTACTTATACACTCAGCCATACAATAGCTCAGGATCTTTATGCATTGCACTTACTTAGTCTTCATTGACAGAACACTAATGGAATCCCCAGGGACTTGTGGTCTACCCACAATATTACTGTCATCTCCAGCACTGCTAACACAAGTTCTCTTTCAGGTGATAAGCTCAACATTCTTAGGAAGGAAGGCTTTGTTCCTCACCACAGGCTTTAGTGCTCATACACTCCACCTCATCCTTGTTGTGTTGTGAGTCAGGAGACATTGTCCATCCATTGCCCCTACACCTGTTATCTTATTGGCCTTTCCAAGCAGCTCCAACCCTAACAACAGCTGAAACAACAGATGGGCAGGAGAACTTGAGATTTTTTAACTTCACCTTCTTGTTTATGAAATCCCCCCTAACTCTGGAATCTGATAGGAATTCTCTTCATCATCATTCTGTGTGTGTGTTTCCCCCCCATGGCACATTATTATTATTAATAAGTAAATAATTGATGCTGAGGGAAATGAAAGAAAGGAATAGCATCTTCCTTTGACAGTAGCGGAGGAGGAGATGGGGATGGGGATTTGTTCATGTGGAATTGATGTCAATATGTCTGTGCCTCAGAGGATAACTGACAGTAGCCAGGATCTTTTGATGGCAGGATGAATTCAAGTGGGGGGGGGGGGGAGGTCTCAAGGGCTAACTAAGGGAGGGAGGTGATCTGGTGTGAGGGTGAGTGTGAGGACATCAAAATAGGCCTTAAACTAGGAGGCGTTGAGAACAGAGGAGAGATGCAATGGAGGGCAGTTGGAAATCTGGCAGGAACCAGTGCTTGGAATGCCAGTGCCTAGTTGGGATCCTTCCTTGCAAGGGATGAGATTATTCAAACAGGCCAAAGCAAGGGATTACAGAAGCAGAACATGGATATCACAAGCAATGGCATGTATTTGTAAGGGGGATGCCTAACCTCTCTATGCCTCAGATTCACCATTTATATGTAAAAATGAAGATGAAAATACATCAGCACATATAAGGTGGTTTTGATTCTCAAATGAGAAAATACGTGGACAGCGCTTAGCCCTAGGCCTGAAATTCCATTAATGGATGCCGTGATTATCATTCTTATTTTGGTCAGGAGTGAACGACATAGGGAAGCAGGAGGGAGAGAATCACTGAGTGTGCATTGTAAAGAAAGGGCCTACGTGCCTGTAACGGATTTCTGCTCAGAATCCGTTGCCCACAGAATCTGGCATGGTCGTTTCCCGTCTCTGTAGGCCTTTGCTTATTTATTGACTTATCCTGGATGGCGTTTTCCCATATCTTCATTATGGGACACACCCACTCTGATTCTTACCCACTAGGGTTATTGTAAAGTTTAGCTAAACAACAAAAAATATCTAGTAACATTTATGGTCAACTGTCCACTGATGCTCCTTATTGTTGCTGTGCATTTTGGTATAACCTATCATGAATGGAAGAATGCCTTCACCACAGCAGACAATAAAAATCAGTGGATAACAGATTGTGCAAAGATTTCAAAAATAAACAAGAATTAGAATGTACGCAAGGGGGTCAGTGTTGTTTGCCTCCCCTCCCTCCAATGTGTCTATATAGCTCATCATTGTCTGTGCATTTTCCAGGGACCTCACTCTTGGCAATGTGTACCAGTACCGGGTCATCACCATTTCCGGAAGTGAGGAAGGCGAGCCATCGCCTGCTGCTGTATACACCCATGGAAGTGGGTACTGTGGCGACGGCATCATCCAGAAGTAAGTAGATCTCACTAAAGAAAGGGGAGGGTGGTGCTCATTTGGCCCAGAGATGCTCAGGGTGCTGAACAGAAGAACTTACAGGATGCTCTTCTATGTGTGAGCTGCAAGTTAGCTTCAATCCCCAGCAGCCTATCCATTTGTCTGCAGCAGGGTGCTACTCTCAGGAGAAAAATAGTGATACGTTTTGGAGCACATACATTTCTAAGTATGCAATTGATCTGTGATTTTGACATAGCGATCATCATGCACTGACTACCAGTATGCTCCTGTCCTTAGTGGATGGATACCTGCCACATGGATTCTATTACTCTCGCCCATCCCAGCCCACATTGAGCTAGCAGGTCACAGTGCATCTGGGTCAAAGCACTTCGACATTCTTTGCTGGTTACCAATTACATCTGTTAAAATTGCATATTTATTTGTTATTCTGTTGCATCGTATTATATCTACACTTTACAAAAAGAGTCAAAGGCCCCAAAAATACCAAAATATTCCAACCCATTGTAATGTTGAAACCATAAATCTGGAATAGTATTCCAGAATGTTAGCATATATACTAAGTATATGGAGCAAATTAGTAAGTGTAAAGATTCCCCACCAAAAAGGGAAAAGCAGCCAAAAAGGGAAAGTGTGATCAGAAAATACAAAGCTGGATGTCTAAAACATATATTTAATTGGATATCAGTCTATCCTTGCCCTTGTCCACAGAGCAAGATGTTATGCAACCACAAAATAGGGGCAGAAAGCTAACAAGACTTTTGCATTGTTTTTAAAAAAGTAAACCTTTGAGATTTTTCCTTCAGAAAAAATCTCAAAAAAAATGTTTTCCTGGCACAAAATCAAATAGGTTTGTCTCTAGGAGTGGAGAAGAGACCAAAAAGCATTGACAATTAACTTCCTTACTGCTAAAATTGTATTTTCTATTGCTAACTTAGTTGCACGTCACACTCTTGCTGGTACTCTTAAAAGTATTGGCAAATATGCCCAGCCAGCATAGCTCAGTGGTCGAGCATTGACCTAGGAACCAAGAGGTTGTGGTTCAATTCCCAGGCAGGTGCCCTGTTGTAGGCTTGAACCCCAGTATGGGGTGTGCAGGAGGCAGCCCATCAATGATTCTCAACATTGATGTTTCTCTCTTTCCCTCTCTTTTCATCTCTCAAATCAATAAAAATATATTTTTTTAAAACTGTTGGCAAATTTAATTATACACATTATGTGTGGAGGTGGCAAAACAAGCTATAGGCAAAATTCTTTCATTAAATGGCTCTGCTGGGTGTCCCATAATATCTGTGTAACATGGAACTGCAATGACTGTTTCTGCAGTGGGAGGGGCTGTAAAGAATTTATTTCACAGTTGAATGAAGCCACTGATGTGCAGAACGTGCATCTGCTCATAAGTGTAGCATACATACGAAAGAGAAGTGCTGGATGGCTATTTCCTTTAGTTCATCATTGACACCAGTGCTGGAGGGGCAGAGCAATTGAATATGGCACTGAGGATTTCATAGTAAGTAATGTGAACTGGAAACCTGCAGCGGGATGAAAGGACCAGCTTGGAGCACAGCAAGATTGACACAGTCATGCAAGTAAAGAGTTTGCACATGAATAGCCCTCCACGCAGACCTCAGTTATTGGCCAGCAAGGGCCTATGGCAGCATTGAAGGGAATAGTGAATGCTGTGAATAAGATCAGAGGCGGGCCAGTGAGATACACTCTTTCATCTTAATGTGCAAAAAGATGCTCATGCGAGCAAGATTTTGTGCCCCACAGAGCTCATACACTAAAGCTCATGGGCTGTCACAAGGAAGGTGCTAATTCAAGTTTTTCAAAGAAGAAATGACATTTTCAAACAAATGTTGACACTGATAAGGTCAGTAGTGATTCTTTACATGAATTCCAGTGGTTTGCTGAGTGCTATGTCTCAGGGATATCTATGGATGTAAGGGGTCTTCAGCATTGAATTGCGGTGCACATCACCTAATGGCCAAGAATTGGACTTATTAGCATAGAAGATAAAGTTCCACATGTATTAGAGGATGTATTTAAGGTCTAGACCCAGAACCGACCACCAGGCATGAAGATATGATTTCCAGTGCTCGATGCACTAAAATCAGGGACAGGGGAACTATTGCTGTTCTCTCCCCCATTAAGACATCAGCCTCCAGCTCTGGTGCACATGCTGTCCGGGGGAATATTGAGCAGCTGCGTAAGGCGGTCCCCGGGGAAAGTGCCCCATCATTTATGGGTCCAGGATAGATCCAGTATCTCCAGCAAACACTTGTGGTCATTGCTGAAAACCCATAATTGTGATTTGGGATTTTCAAATTTAGCACAAAAAATAAAAAAGGAAACTCACTTGATGTGAAACCTGATCCAGCTCAGTCTCTCCATTTCAGAGCCCTCTATAGACACATTGGTAAAACACTGCAAACAATGGCATTTTTGTAGCTGCTCTAGAAGTGGGTTGTTGTTAGTATTCATTTAAAGACTATTCTTAACAACAGTGTTTTTTAGTGGTTTCACCTAGAATTGGTATCCTGCATTGACATCAAGTACATGTTGAGTTACCTGCAGTTACCTAATAATTGTTGACAGGTTTTGTAGAAACTGAACAAAGCTGAACATGAACAGTTTCCTAAGCAAAACCGAACATGAAACTGAACATGAACAGTTTCCTAAGCAAAACCAACAAATACCAAAAACCACAACTTTGAAGTAAAGGAGGGATGGCATCTGAACTAATTAGATTTTTAGAGTATGATACGTGTGTGTGTGTGTGTGTGTGTGTGTGTGTGTGTGTGTGTAAGAAAATGGTTGAAAACACTGGATGAATATTACGACAATGATAATAATATTCATAAATATTAGCTGAGCCTTAACTCTACAGGAGGCACTGTGCTACATAGCCATCTCCTTGGGTTCTTCCAACAACCATATTGCATAGGTCCTTTTACTATACAAGAGACAACTAACACACAAAGATTAGAGGGGTTTTTTCAGCCCAGTAAGGAACAGAGAACCAAGACGTGAACCCAGGGCCCAGGTTTTCATGTGGATTCACCATTGCCTTGTTGTGTGACCGACAGTTGTGCAAAACTAACAAGCGAAGGAGTAGCTACATGCTTTCTGCTATGTCCAAGGAGTAGCTACCTGCTTTCTGCTAGGATGACAAAGACTGCACTTCCTTTGGCATCGTAAAGCTGAGGATAGGGGGCTCTCAAGTGACAGGACAAGGCTGACAGTGTGACAAGCGCTATGATAGATTGAGCCTGGTGTCCTTGGTCACAGAGAAGTCAGCCTCCCACTCCTGCCTGTGAGGTCAGGGAAGGTTTTTCAGAACTTCTCTATCTAATGATAGATCTTTCATGCCTAGAAGATATTTGTGGTGACCCTAATTTTATGCTTAAACCAATAGAACACACTGTTTGGGTGGTGAGGGAAGGCGGTTGAGAAGTATTCTTTGTGGCTTAGGGAACCCAGCCCAGATTTAAAAAAAAAAAAAAAAAAAAAATCTCTCCCCAGATAACCCATGAAATAGCTAAGAAGTACAAGGCCATCACCATTTCCAATGGAGAGTCCGTGGCAGAGATTGGAACAGGGGTCCAGCCTGGGATTTAGGCTTCTTCTTTGCTTCAGACAGGAGACAGCCTGGGTGGCTCTTTGGAGATCAGTGCGGTACCCTGGTCATCTTCAGGATTGATTGCAAGGCACCATCCTGCTACACTGACACCTTTTAAAAGCAACAAACATTTCCCAGTATTAATTGCCCTGGTGAAGGCAGAAGTCTGAGGACTCCTTCATGCTGTGACAGGGCCCAGCTGGTCTCCAGGGAGGGAGGGAGGGACAGCTGCCACACACTTTGCAGAGACCTCCCAGGACAGAGTGGGAATGGGGCTGTGATCCCCTGAGCATCTACTGTGTGTCACACACCGTGCCAGTCACTTGATGTTACATTTCATTCTTACACGCACTCTAAGGAGTAGGTATAAAATTACCTCCATTTTAACCAGTGAGATAATGGAGCATTGGCATCTAGAATAGCACTTTCCAGTGGATTTTTCTATGCTGTCCAACACAGGAGCCACTAGCTACATCCAGCTACTGAGGACTCGAAATGTGGTGACTGTGACTGAGCCAGAGCATTTTCATTTATTTTGCATGTTCATTGGTTTACACTGTGCAACACAGAAAGATCAGACAGAGAGATCCAGTGACTTATTGGAGATCAAACAGCCAGTTTGGACCATGGAGATCAAAACCCAAGTTTTCTGTTTCTCAGTGGATGGGAATTTTTTTTTTTTTAAGTAACAGTTCATTGAATCTTTCCGTTATTATTCCTCCAGTTCATTGCATCTCTCCGTTATTATTCCTCTCTCTTTTCTCCTAGGTCCAATTCCAAGAGCATTGCTCATTTTCTTTCCATCCTAACCTCTGCAGAACCATCCTTAGGTGATGAAAACAATTCCTAAAATAAACAAGAGGAGGCATTTTTATTTCCTAGAAGCATAGTTAATTCCACAGTCCTAGGCATTCTTGATGCCAGCAAACTGCACACCGATGGAGGAGGCAAAATTTTCTGATAAAAGGAAAAACCATCCTGAGCATATGAAGGGGGGAGGGGATATCGTGACCTTTAAGAGCATTGGGAAAGTGGGGAGAGGGTGGACACAGGGCACAGTGAAGATAGCATTTGTATTTTAGAAATGCCAAAATGTTCTTTAAATCCATCATTTTAAAGTGGCAGTGACATTTTCCGGACACAGTACAGCAAGGTCTGTTCATCATTTGTTCGTTCATTCATCCATATCTTACTCTCATCTAAATTGCTGACTTAACTGATTGAGATCTCAGAGAATGTGTTTGAAACAGAAATTCTATCATCATTAGAAACAAAACAATAAGGCAAATGTCATGGGATCCTACAGATGTACACCTTTTAAGCATCTCATCTTGATGATGAAGAAACAGAGACTTACACAGGGAAAGGGGCTTGCCTGAGGCCTGGGCTGCAGGGAACTGGGCCACATCAGGCTGTAGTTTTGAAGCTAATGAGATACCTTTCTCTCCCATCTGTTCTGCAGAGGCCAAGGTGAAGAATGTGATGACATGAATAAGATCAATGGTGATGGTTGCTCCCTGTTCTGCCAACAGGAAGTTTCCTTCAATTGCATTGGTAAGTCTTTGTCATTTCCCTGGGCCTTGCTAGGGAGGAATAATATTACAATAACAGCTATATTGCAAATATGTACTGAGTGCCTCCTATGGGACAGGCATTATTTTAGGCACAAGGGAATACAGCAATGGAAGCAAAGGGCAAGTACATCCCTGCCCTGGGTAGCTTATGTTCTCCTAGAGGACAGGCATGACTGGGAACTGTTGATCTAACTTCACCTTACACACAGCATTGCTCTTCTTCATGCCAGCTGTCCAGGATGGTTAGTAGTATAGATTTTTAAGGTTTTTATTCCTGCTGGAGAGATGAGAAACATTGTAAAACTTGCCCAGAATCGTACAGGTCAGAAGTGATTTGAGACAAAACCAGGACTTGGACCTCATTTTGTCTGATTCTTAGGCATGTGCTCAGTCCATTTGGCTACACAACCTACCCCCGCTGTACATTCCCAGCCTTGGGCATTTTCTCCCATCCAAGTACTAACCAGGCCAGACCCTGCTTAGCTTCGGAGATCACAGGAGATCGGGTGCGTTCAGGGTGGTATGGCCGTAGACAGCCTTGGGCATTTTCTGACTGGAGGAAGAGGGAACAGCAGACCAGCCTATGTTTAGAAAGCAAATGTCCTTTTCCCACCTTCCCTTGGCCTCCTCTCTGAGTCTGGCTGATCTTGTTGTTTCAGTCCCACTTGGGAGGCCCTGGCCAGCCTGGGGCTGGTAAACAGACAGGGGCTGGGGGGCAGGGATGGAATTTTGAGCTGGCCCAGATGAGATCATACTTCCTTTAAGATGCAAATCGATACCTGAAGATCAAAGGTCCCCAGGCTAATCCCCTGGGCTGGAGGTGAAAACTAATCACAAATCATTTGCAAGTACAAAAGACAGAGGTGCTCTATCTGAGGAGGGTAGGGGCAGCTGTGTGTGTGTTGGGGGGGGGGGGGGGATGGAAACTGTGCTGGGAAGATTTCTCACTGAAAGGCAATTTTCTAGGACTAAAGGGGAGGAACTGTCATGGGGTCCTCACAGTTGCAGTGCATTCCGGTGCGTTTAGACCACCTCCTGGTAAATTGTGAGCTCCCTGAGGTCTTTGCCATGTATTAGTTACCTTTTATTCCAGTCGCAGCACACATTTATTGAGCGCCTACTATCTCCTTGGCACCAAGTAGGGGTCCAGCAGCACCATAGAGAGATCCCACTCATGCTTGTGGATAGAAGGAAGGAAAGATGTGGAGGGAGGGAGGACAGGAGAGTTTCTAGGCAAGACCTTGGGCTTTTAAATGGCAGAAGGTGATTGGTTTGTTTTTTCCTTCTCCAACATTGATTCCAGTTTGTCGGTCTATATAAAAGCCTGATATTCGCCAAGTGTGGGGTTGAAAGAGCCTTGGACTAAAATGAAGAAAACCAGGCTCTGGTCCTAGCTGTGGTGAGAACTTGCTGGATAATGCTGACCAAAACGCTTCCTTAGCCTAGGCCTCGGTTTACTTTCTGTAACTTAAAGGATTGAGTAAGGTGGTTTTTAAGAGCCTTGCCTGCACTTCTGTTGTGTGATTTTCAAGGTATGAGATTATTACTTCTCATAGTCACAAGCTCTACCCTAATCAAACCCTCACCTTTGCTGTCATCCTCATGACACCCACTTTACTCTCAGATCATGCTGGAAATAGCTACCTGTTTTACTTGCACTAAGGTGACATGTGGCTCAAGTGCTTCTGGGGAAAAGGTAGGATGTGGGAAGGTAATGCTTAGGTAATTGCCTAAAGGGATGCTTGGGTTCTGATATCCATGTTATATGTTGCTTGAGCACTATGCAGCCATAAACAAAAATAAGTAACCCTTCCAGGCAGAAGCTTCTTGTCCAGGAAAGGGTCTGCACAATACCTTCCATGGATCAAACTCGGCCTACGGCTTACATGTGCAAATAAAGCCTTACTGGATCACAACACACCCTTCATTTACATATGGTCTGCTGTGTTTTCCTGCTATAGCAGCAGAGTTGGGTGGTTGCAGCAGAGACCTATGGGCCAAAAGGCCTACAATATTTACTATCCGGCCCTTTACAAACCGCATTTGCTGACCCCTGGTCTGTGGATTTAGAATCTTTGATGCTCTTAGTGCTTGGAGTCCATTGCAGAGAGGAAGTGAAAATTAGGACATGCTTCATTGTTTCTCAGAAAAAAAAACAAAAAACTGAATTGTAAGCATAGAGTGGTGGGGACTGGGAATCTCTGTTAGAAATAGCACTGGACAGCGAGTCTAGCCCCAGCTGGCCATACTTCCTTGGACCTCACTTCCCTGCCTATACTCTGGACAAAATAGCTGCTGTGGACTAGATCAATGACTTGCACATGGTGTTAATGGATATGCTTCAGAGGAAAGGCATGATGATGGAGAAAGTTTGTAAGAGAATGAGACTTGGACCCTAATAGATCCATTTTTACATACTAACATTTTCTACTAGATTCTGCCTATTCTGCTGATGATATTTATTGAACACCTATTATATATCAAGCATATTTTTAAGTTGACCCTCATAGTAATTAGTGTCCTTTTTCTACAAAAGAGGAAGTTGAAGCATGGGGAAGTGAATTGAAGAGAGGCAATTAAATGGTAAAACTGGGGACTCAAACTCAGAGAGCCTGACTCCGGAGCTCACCATGGTAAACTACTTGCAAAATAGTAGCTCTTGGCCTTGTGGGGCTTCCAGGGTGAGTGGGGAATATATTGCTGCAGGACAACTCATGGGGTACATAATGGAATGGCATACAAAACTCTTGGGTGTGGGTGGTGTCTAGGGAAGATTCCCTGTTGCCCCTGTATGTTGAGTATGGCTTGTGCTAGAGAAAAGACCTTCAATATGCCTCCTGCCCTCACCGTTTACTATTCCATTATAGAAACTCACAGAGACACAGGGCATCTATCTCTCCAGAGATCCCAGTTCCCAAGAACTATATTCCAAGGACAAACTCCACAGCTTTAGTCTAGAAAACCATCTTCCTCTAGGAAAAACAGCACAGGAATCAACATGCATCTTTGGCTCTCCAGAGATCCAGTTCTAATGAGTCAGGGAAAGGGGGCTGGAGCATGGGAGGCTTTGCCAAGGTGGACATTGTTTGCATCATTACATTGTCATGACAATGGTCAAGATAGTGGCCAACAGAACAGGCTTGAGTGAGACTAGCTTGGTTCATACCATAGTTTAGACATGGGGCCTTGGCTAAGCTTCAATGTTCTCATCCATAAAATGGTAAAAATCCTGGGACTCAATTGTGGTAGTTATTTACCAATTTGTAGATAGTTATTATCTGACTCCCTTCCCTAGATTTAGAAAAGAGCTCTCTTTGTTGTAATAACAATGAGGCAGAGTCCAACCACCACAAACAAAGTTGGAAACACAAGCATATTCCAGCCCCCCTTATAGCTGAATGTGGGCACAAGACTTGCACTCTCCTCTCACCCACCAATCAGACACCAACTCAAGACTTTGAATCAGAAGACAGAGTGACCCTACAGAAACTATTCTGATAAAAGATGATGGCAATGGCCACAACCCCTGCATTTCCAAAGTACCAATCACAGCATCCAGCATTAGGGCTGGAGGTTTTGTGTGTAACAGCAGCTCTGAGATGTCTTCGCAAGACCAGTCACCAGACCTAATCTTGAGCTAGGAATTGGCTTTAGAGCCTGCAAGGCTAGCTCTTCAGCCCTCCCAGAGAGTCTTCCAGAAGTATCCAGTGTTCTCCGAATAGAGTTTGTTTGTTTGCTTGTTTTGCTTAAGTTAGCCAAGTTGGTTTCTGTTGATTGTCACTTAGAATCCTGACCAAAAATTGTTGTCATAAGATAGTATGAGGGTTAGCCCTATTGTTAGCAAGTTGGACTTGCTTGACGCACATTAACTTACTTTTCTCAGTATGTGTGTAGGGGGAGGGAGGTGCGAGTTGGGGAGTATGTGTGTGTGTATCAGCAATAACCACTATTAATTGATATCCATGAGGGGCTATGCACCTTTGTATAATGTGAACTGATGTGAGGTCTCTGGTATCCAGTCGGTAATGTCTTAACTTGCCTAAGATCACACAGCTCATAGAGAGGGTGATCTTAACTCCAGACCAAGTGGAGAGCTCTTGCTTTTTGTATTCTATACTCTGCCTCTCCACCTGAGGGACTTCCTTCCTTTTCCGTTTTTTATTTTTTGGCACTAACCATTTAATAGGGCTAATGTTTTCCCTGGGTTTGGTACCATCCCCACCCATGTGAGGGGGAGGCAGATTTATGGTGGCGTTTCCATTCACTTTTCAGAAGCCCACACATCCAGGAGTATTCCCAGGGTGCCAATGTGTTATTATGCAATAGCCTGGGGTGACCCTGTCCCACTTTCCCACCCCCAGGTCCCTCATCCCCCTTGCAACATGGTAAGTTGCTTGTTAAAAGGAATACCACCCACAAGACCTCTTGGGCAATGCATGCTATATCCTGGTAATGTGGAAATTATTTTGTCTGTCTCCTCCTCCCCTTTAAAATAGAACATACACCAGGCCTGAGATGTCAGTTTAAAAATGTGGTATCAGTAAAATGATAACACCCCCCACCCAGCAGGCACTGGCTAGAGGTATTGTTCAGCAGCTGTGGAGATTCTGTCTCTAAGCACTGAGTCATGATATACAGACAGGCTGCTGATAGCAGCTGGAGGAGGGAAGACAGCAGTCAAATTAGTGGGACAAAATGAGAAGCACTGAAGTAACAAAGGGGTTACACTTAGTAATGTATCTCAGGCCATTGCCGGAAATGAGCTGCCTTCTGCAACGACATTTAGTCAATGCGGGGAGCTATGCTGGTGGGGGACCCTCCCCTCCCATCCTGTGTCCTTCAGGAGAGCTGAGTGAAGGTCCCCTTTTAGACTTGGAGGCCTGGGAGTTTGGCACATTAGTATCTTAGAGCCTCAGTTTCCCCCTTTATGAAATAAGAGCAATTGGGCTGAGGATGCTAAAGCTGCTTTTCCTCTCGGAC